GTGTGTGTGTGTGTGTGTGTGTGTGTGTGTGTGTGTGTGTGTTTAGTGTCAGTACCTAAATATTCATAACTAAATTCACCCAGAAACAAAGCAGGTTCACAGAGTTACTGCTTACCTGCGAATGAAGCCCCCACTGATGGCCATCTGTTCACGTTCGTCTACAACTCGAGCTCCTGGCTGGCTGTTCACCACTCCATCCTGGTTCCCTCCCCAGGCCTGGCCCCCACCCTTAATCCTACCACAAACACACTTCAGTCAAGGTCAACAGAGATGTCATATTGTGGGATTGTGTGTGTGTGTATGTACACGTTAAAGAATGTGGCTGCGTACATGTTTAGTTGTTAGTTTCTTGTTAGCTTTTCATGAAAAAAAAGTTTGGGTGTCAGTGAGTGTGTCTTTGTTTAAGCACAAAACACTTTCAAAATATACATTAACACAGTCATATGAAAAAGTTTGGGCACCCCTAGTAATCTTAATCATTTTTATATCTAAATATTTAGGTGTTTGCAACAGCTATTTAAATTTGATATATCTAACTGATGGACACAGTAGTATTTCAGTATTGAAATGAGGTTTATTGTACTAACAGAAAATGTGCAATATGCATTTAAACAAAATTTGACAGGTGTAAAAGTATGGGCACCTCAATAGAAAAGTGACATTAATATTTAGTGGATCCTCCTTTTGCAAAATAACAGCCTATAGTTGCTTCCTGTAGCTTTTAATGAGTTCCTGGATCCTGGATGAAGGTATTTTTGACCATTCCTCTTTACAAAACAATTCCAGTTCAGTTAAGTTTGATGGTCACCGAGCATGGACAGCCCGCTTCAAATCATCCCACCGAGGTTCAATAATATTCAGGTCTGGGGACTGGGATGGCCATTCCAGAACATTGTAATTGTTCCTCTGCATGAATGCCTGAGTAGATTTGGAGTGGTGTTTTGGATCATTGTCTTGCTGAAATATCCATCCCCGGTGTAATTTCAACTTCGTAACTGATTCTTGAACATTATTCTCAAGAATCTGCTGATACTGTGTGGAATCCATGCGACCCTCAACTTTAACAAGATTCCCGGTGCCGGCATTGGCCACACAGCCCCAAATCATGACGGAACCTCCATCAAATTTTATAGTGGGTAGCAAGTGYTTTTCTTGGAATGCTGTGTTTTTTTGCTGCCATGCATAATGCCTTTTTTTAATGACCAAACAACTCAATCTTTGTTTCATCAGTCCACAGGACCTTCTTCCAAAATGAAGCTGGCTTGTCCAAATGTGCTTTTRCATACCTCAAGCGACTCTGTGGTGTGCTTGCAGAAACGGCTTCTTTCACATCACTCTCCCATACAGCTTCTCCTTGGGCAAAGTGCGCTGAATTGTTGATCGATGCACATTGACACCATCTGCAGCAAGATGATGCTGTGGGTCTTTGGAGGTGGTCTGTGGATTGTCCTTGACTGTTCTTACCATTCTTCTTCTCTGCCTTTCTGATACTTTTCTTGGCCTGCCACTTCTGGGCTTAACAGGAACTGTCCCCGTGGTCTTCCATTTCCTTACTATGTTCCTCACAGTGGAAATTGACAGCTTAAATCTCTGAGACAACTTTTTGTATCCTTCCCTTGAACAACTATGTTGAACAATCTTTGTTTTCAGATCATTTGAGAGTTGTTTTGAGGAGCCCATGATGCCACTCTTCAGAGGAGATTCAATTATGCGAACAACTTGCATTTGGCCACCTTAAATACCCTTTCTCATGATTGGATACACCTGGCTATGAAGTTCAAAGCCCAATGAGGTTACCAAACCAATTTTGTGCTTCAGTAGTCAGTAAAAAGTAGTTAGGAGTATTCAAATCAATAAAATGATAAGGGTACCCAAATTTTTGCACCTGTCAAATTTTGTTTAAATGCATATTGCACATTTTCTGTTTGTACAATAAACCTCATTTCAATACTGAAATATTACTGTGTCCATCAGTTATTAGATATATCAAACTGAAATAGCTGTTGCAAACACCTAAATATTTAGAAATAAAAATGATTAAGATTAATAGGGGTGCCCAAACTTTTTCATATGACTGTATATGTTCAGAATGCAAATAAAGACAATCTAACCATCCTACTGAAAGCAACATGATGACCACTCATGAGGTTCTTACATACATGCATTTGCAGTGTGTTGGTGAATAATTGATCTAACATGCAGATCAATTGAACACTAAGCTCACGTGTTCCTTAAGCTTCAAACCCAATTAAAACTCACAAAGGCGGAACACAACAAGGACACAGGACACACAAAACACACATAGAACATGTGGTGGACATGCAGAAACATGGAGTTTACAGAGGGAACAGGATCAGACACATGCTGTTTCTATCAAAAGAAAGCCGAGCCGTTAGGTCCATCGTGGCGAAACAAACAAATGAAAAAACAAACACACATGATCATTTTGATTATCTGTGATCTCAGCCCTTCATTTCATCTGCATGGACACACGTGCATAAAAAAAAAAAAAAAAACAAATAACAAAAAAAAAATAATGCAACCCTTTGTGTTTGAGTATCCATGAAGTATCTGATAGGTGAAGGGCAACACAATCATCCAGAATTCTGCAGGTTTCCCCCTGTATTTCTCAGTGTTGTCTTGAGCAGGTAGGTCCCACCTATCAGGTGCTCCAGCTGGGACAGAACAATGAGCTATCTGACCCAGGGCTCTCATATAGGGGGTCTAAATTAAAGGAAACACACGGCATAACCACTTCATGGATTACAAAACAGGTGGATTATGAAAGAAGGGACCAGAGAGCTATAGAATATACAAGATCTTAAACCAAAACAGAAGCATCTGGAAGCAGGACCAAGGTGGACCATCATGATGTACCTTATCTTGAATCAGGTGGTGGCTATTAAAAATAATACTACTAATAACGAAACCAACTTTTACAGAAGAATTACTGTGATATAAGTTGTTGGAGGAAAGGATGACCTGTTGTTAAAATACTTAACATAAAAAATTAATGTTTGGATCATATAAAATAAAAGCAAAAGAAACTCTACCTAATGACCCATTTGGTAATTGATCAGATTGACCACAGATTGTCCATTTTTAAGTTCTACATCAAGGAAACATTAAATAAAATATGCTAGGTATGCAGTTTCTGCATTCACCAGTTCACTCATTCCTAAGTGGAGAATCTAAATGATGGCCTGTTGTAAACGTATTACAAAAATAAATAAATAAAATAAAAATAAAAATAAAAAAACCTGAATAATTGACTTTTTTCTTATACTGTAGTTTTTTTTTTTTGTCATTCACTTGTGTTTTCTATAGCTCTGATGCAGAAGAATATTTCCAGTAAGAGTATGTGATGCACAGACATGACCCAGCAGCCRTAGTTTTGACTGCTGAGGACAGCCCAAAAACAAATCACACAAGAGTTTGGCAGAACTCACAATAAGTGTCAAACTCAGCTTTTAGAAGGCAAATTTCACAGATTTTAAGAATGTCAAGTTAAGTTAAAACAAAAGTTTGCCTAACTCGTGCATGATAATTTATGATAACTGAGGCATCCTGTGGTTACAAAATGTGATCATGTATCAAAGTTAGTCGGTAAAAGCGGGAGCTGACATCTTTGTTGGAGCTTGGGAGTTTTAAAGCTTCAGTGTGTGGGATTTAGTGACATCTAGTGGCACAATTTCCAAGTTTTAAGCAAATTTGGGTGGAGGATAAGACTTCATACCATACTACTTTGGCTGTAAAATAAATAATTCATTCCTTGAATGAATGTGTATCTCCTGCTGCATCTCATGTCAGAGTTTTAAATTAAGATCCTCTTAAGATGAGAAGCGTTAGCTGTTTTGCTCAAATCTTAAAACAATGTAATGTGCAATAGATCTCGTGACACATCCCACAACACAAGTTAATGCTCTGAGTATGTGTTGGGATGACTTTCAACTACTACCTCATCAAGTTTTAGGCATATATCTGTAACTTGATTTAGTCATAGCCAGTTTTGTGTTGGCTAATGCAAGTTAGCTGCGACAGCCAGACTTCATGAGTTATTGGAACATGTAAATGTAAATGTTTACTTTCTGAGAGTTTCAACAGGATCCATCCAGTGGTCCATGATATATTTTGCCAAGTTGCTAAATGTGCCAGAGGTGAGGAGTAACTAGTTACATTTAATTAGTTACATTTACTTGAGTAACTTTTTGGGAAAATGTACTTTTAGGAGTGGCTTTTTTTTTTCCTGCTTGGCCTTCCGAGGAGTCGGACGCTTTTTGCTCTCTCTCCCGAACCTCCCTTTTTCCCTGCTTTGCTGCTGGATCAAACCTTTCCTCTATCCATCATTCGACGACAAAAGAACTATGGATGTGGTCAACTGGTCTCTGAATGCAATTGACACCATTTATTTCCACTCTGAGAATGGAGCGAGGGGAGCACAGCTGTCCCAGTGGAACCGTCGCTGCAGGCAGAGTTTCTGGGTCCTGGGGGTGGAATCTAGTCTGCCTGGCCCCCGTTTCCATTGAAGACGTCGAAGATGTGTTTATATTCAGATTTATGATAATTGGATTCCTGCTGATCGGCTGTGGACGAGTCCTGGTTTATCGGAAAATGAAAACGATCCTGACAGCAGTCCGGGCCTGTGAAAAGCTGTCAGGAACATTGGATGGGATTTCCCATACTGCAAATGCACAGACTCAAATGCTGGGGGATATAAGTCACAGACTGGATGTGGTTCTGACGAGGATCACAGCTCAGCAGCGTGCCCGTGAGGAGTGAGTCCACCTGGGTGAAGTTTCATACGGGAGAGGTGAGGTGGTAAACGAATCTGGAATATTGGCATTTTTCGCAACACAGAGACGCAGTTAAGACTTAAAGCAGTGAAAACAGACTGCTTGCCCTAAACAGTTATGTTTATTATTGGATCCCGGCTGCCGTGACCTCGGACGCAAGCTGATAAAACCTCCCTGGAATGACACGTAGAAGAAAGCCTTGACTCCCCCCCCACCCCATCCCCTGTTCCATCCGTGCATTGGATCGGTCTGAAGGCCGCGTTGGGTGGAAACAAAGAACTGAACTCTAGTGACCTGTGCTTTGACTGATAACAACTGGTTTGGACTCTGGAGGTCTCTGATTGGTTCCGGCACAAAGTCTGCCCTGGAAGTCACCAGCTCCACTGCATCCCTCCCCCATACCATGTGTTTTGACCCCCACCCCCCTCCCCTCCTTCGCTGGCTGCACCTTTTGTAGAGTAGTTTTTTTGAGCATATGTTTGTGTGTTTTCTGTATAAAACACAGGATCAAAGCTCTTTTTTTAACTCACCCTTCCTATTGTGTGTGCATTCTAAACTGCAAAGGTAGCGCACTAAGTTGCGAAGGACCCTGGACATTCGTTCCCCCATGTTTGTCATGTGTGTGTTTCTCCGGACGGATGTTCTAAACTGCATTTCATTCTGCACTGCATCTGATGTTGTGTGTGAATGACAATAAAACGCTTCTGATTACCACACTGTACTTTTTTATTTTACTCGAGTAAAATATGAAGTATTGCTACTCTTACTTGAGTACAACGTTTGAGTACTCTCTGGTTAGGGCTGACTCTCAGGTGCCACCGCACTGAACTTTTAGCTCAAAATGCGTAAAATGAACGTTTTTGTGTTAGCTAAATTTGATTAGCTGTGATGATCATCCTACAGCTGTTGGATTCCACACACAGAAGCAAAACCATTTTCTTCTGACATCCATCATTCAGCACTGGGCAGTTTTAAAACCCTGATTTTTATCTGCAACCTGATTTTATGCAACTGAAAAAGCCATGAGGATTATTCTGCATTTCATTTGTGCCACCAAAACCACCTAAATTCTACACACTGAACCGTTAAAAGAGATATTTAAAAAAAAATCAAGAAACTGACCCCAAAAATTCCAAGATAATGGAAAAAGTCATTTAAGCAGACAAGGAGTCAGTTGGTTGATGGATAATTTAGTTATATTTTAACACAGCATGATGCAGCATCATGTTATGGAATTGGGTGCTGGAGTTAGTTGGTGGGCACCGTGACCAAGGTTCTCGCTGCTACCTGCTGGAGGAGAATCTCTCATCCGTTGTGGAATGAAGGGCTTTTAAGGCGCTGCAGCCTTGGAGGCAACATGAGATCAGTTTCAAATGCTCTTTATGATGTTGTTTATGCATGCACACAGTCCCGATTCAATCATGCACACGTGCTCGTGCATGCTGCACTCGTGCCCGTTCAGAGAGGAGTGTCCTTGTGGCTTCAGGCCTGACTGCTCACAACACTGATCACCATGCTCTACACACCAGAAGCAGGCAGATGAATAGAGGCGAATGCAGGCAGGCACTGAAAACACATGCAGTCGGGCGACACAGGCGGCACCTACTTGTTACAGGGACATGTACATAGACCACAGAACTGTCCTAGATTGTTCAGATTCTTTTCTGCATCCATCATGTCCTTATTGATTTGGTCCATCCCCTCCTCGATGCGCTCCAGTTGTTCTGATTAGCAACACATTGTCATTTATCCCAGCAAAAGAACGAAAGCACGTGAGAAGAGAAGARAGGAGGAAAAAGGTCGCGGGTGGAAGGAAGGAGAAGGGGGGAGACAAAGGAAAAGAGACAAAAAAAAAAGACATAGACTGTGACAAGAGAGACATCAGACATCACCACCACCACCAGCACTGGACAGGCAAGAGCACGGGGGGGGCTCCTGGCTGGTACCTACTTTTTAACACATGGGCATATCAGACCACAGCATTGTCCTATATCTTTTAAATCTTTCTCGGCCTCCTTCAGGTCTGCGTTCACCTTGTTCATGCCCTCCTCCACACGATCAAGTTGTTCTGGTGAGGACAAAGGCATGAGAGCAGTGAAATACAGTTGACTGGTTTGGGTCCAGGGGGGGKTGGCGCTCTACGCTACGCTGCCAGAGGCTACACGTGTTTCCTAAAYGCAGAAGGCAAAGCAGGCGACAAGATTTAAGAGCACCTTTTGGTGCTAATGCAGSGAATGAGTCCAAAACGTTCCCATGCAACTTTGTTTCTTGCTATCTATTGCAACAGTTTTCCATAAAGTCTACTGTCATCCCAAAGAACATRTTGTATTTTCTCTGAGTGACAACAGCAGAGTGCTTCATTTAGAAAAAGCATATGTAGATAAAGAGTTTGCCACTTAAACGTCATCACTGCTGCTGAACTGGATCTCAGACAGACGAGAGCGAGGGAAACGCAGGAATGTGTGGGWTGAGTTTTACTGCTGAAACTTATCTAAATGAAAAGAGAGAGCAGCATTGAAAATAGATGCATTACTTATTACTTGAGCYTCAGACAGTCAGCAGTGACCTAGCAATTTGCCTTCTCCTGTCTGATTGAAGATTTCAGAGACCTGAACACGGTAATGAGAGTAATGGATAAAAAAAAACAAACAGCTGTTGAATGGAACAGTTTGYTCAGTCTAACTTTGGGTCATCATACCATCAATAAGGAATAAACTGCCAAATTTGTGACAGAGTTTCAAACATTTGTGAAAAATAAAAGGAGAGTTCAGTCTTCTGAAACATGTTGTGTCACTTCCTGTAGGCTTCCCAGCTGGATAAACAAACAGTTTTTTTTACTTACCAAAGGTGACCAGAGTCATTTTTCCTGGATAAACAACTAGAGGACTACAGCAGCTGGCCTCCTTTAATTCAGTCACACCACACTAATAAATATGCATGGACACATGCTGAAATAGTTGAATAAAATATGATAATACTGTGGAGAAACCGTTTGACAGAGTTTTAACTGTCTGTTKGTTTCAGTATTTTGTTTTCCTATTTAGTTCATCTTTCACATTCGCTCTCATGTTAAAAATGCTAACTGAAACTTCACATCACCAGACCTTATAAAGTGTTAAAAGTTTCTAAAAAAGATAGAGAAAAAATGAAGTGTTCAACTCATAAACTGGCCAATATTCATGCGGTTCTCACTCAAGAAAGTGAGTTTTACAACAAATCTAATTTTCAGTCTCACACAGTGAAACACTAATTAAAACAAAGAGTCTGGAGAGACAATAGCTGGATATTAAATAATRATTAACATAATAAGCTTCAGTACTGAGCTGCCAACTAAATCGAATATGAAGGCAGCCGTTAATAATGTAAAATGTGTTTGTGTTGTCAGAGAAAAGCTGCCAAGAGTTCTGACTTATTTAATAAAATGTTGGAAGTTGCTCACAAATTCAGAGCTATAATCCATCAGCTGCCAGTCTAATTCGGGTCAACATGTACCAGCCGAGCACAGGAGCTCATTAGCGCTGRTGACACCTCCACTACAGGTTACTGGAGGAAGTTACACATCTCCTCTTGTGTGTAATCTGTGTGCGTGTGTCATGTGTGCGTGGAAAGGGCAGACAAATAAGTCACACCCCAGTTTACAGCTAAACAAAACTGTAGCTGAAGCTTGGCAGACTGTARCATTGGCATCGTTTTTCTCTTTTAGGAAATAAATTAATTGGCCGACAGGACAGAGCCTCTATCAGTCCCTTCAGAACAGCTTAACTACAYCATTACTGCTACCTCAGATTAGAAAAACTGGAAAAGAGTGCAGATCAGAAAAAGTCAAAGCAGAGAATAGCAGGATGAAATAGAGAAAAGACAATGAAGGTGAAGTGAGAGGAGGATATGGATCAGGTATAGAGGACATTAGCTTGGAGGCAGAGGAAATTAAATCTGTGAATTGATTGGTGTCCTGTGATAACAGCAGCACAGCGGCAGCGCTGAGGTAAGAAATAAGAGGCTGTCTGTTACTTTGACAGGCCAAACAGGCTGCCATGTCACACACACAGCTAAACACGCACAAACAGATCCTCCACACACGACTACAAACTCATCTACAGACAGTAAACATACCTGGAAGCACGTACACCCACAGCACAACAGGCTTGTTTTTGTATACAAACAGTAAAATGTGGTATTTGTATCAAAGTCACCAAACGTTGGTCTGATGACAGCAAAGATACATCAATCAAAAGGTTCCCGAGGGTTTCAGCTGCGGCTTGGATCAAACCTGAACTCTTGTCTCATATCATTTCCAAAATAAAACAGGTCTTTTGTGCTGGTTCCATTAGTAGGTTCTTCTAAATAACAGTTATATTTAACAATCTTATCAGATCTGTCTTTCTTACAATAAGCTCATGAATGTGAAAAGTTCAGACGCTCTCCTTTTATAAGAACTGATCAAATCCTTAGTCAATTTGTTAATTCTATGTTTCTATTTTCATATTTGAGGTAAGTGGTTAAAATATGTGACCAATCAAATCGAAATGAGGAATAAGTCAAATTTGGTCAAAGCTATCATAAACAGAACCAGAGATATGCCTTAATTTGTCTTGCCGGTTACAATAATACAGTAATATTGGGTCTGAATCCTAATTTTTTGTAATTTTAATGAGGAATTTTTTATGAAAAGGAAATATCAAATAGTATTTGAATATTGAGATTTCCAAGCTGGAAAGAAACAAAAACATTGCTAGCTCACGGGGAAAATCTCAAAATTTAAAGGCGTTTTTTTTTTCTCCTCAAAATCAATTTTTTTGTAGCTACTGCAAAAAAAGTGCTTTAAATTTTTTTATGATTGTATTTCACACAGTTCATTCAAATGAAACCGTGATAAGGCATTTATTTGTTATATTTTGACAAAATGCAATTTTTGTAAGTGTTTTAATCAAAACACCATATTCACCTATTTCTCCATATCACTTTTAGATTTCATCCTCGTTTCGATGTCATGGGTCACATATATTATGAGCTTTATTAAAGACATCATTAAAAAAAACAGCCCTGTCTCATAACGTTACTTCTGGCCCTTGATTTAATTTTCACTGTGTTCCTTTAAAACAATGAAAGGGTGAAATATTTCACTTACAAACATAGACGCCCCMTGGAGAAGCCTAAACACAGTTCACTTTTGCCTGAGTGCGTTATTGTTGACCTCAGCTATTGGGATTCTTTTGCTCTTTGCAACAAATTAAAGACATGCAATAAATACAAAAATGTCTTTAACATCCAAGAAAGCAGCCGAGTTTCTGTTAAATAAAGTGTGCAAAAGTCTTGAGTCTTAGGTTGAACTTTATTTTTGTTTGTCATTTAATTGGTAAAAGGCTGACCTTTTTCAGAAATGAATAGTTGATTTTTATTGCATATTTTTGGTCAAGTTGAATGAATTTTTTAATTTGTTAGACAACTATTAACCAAAAAAAAAAAAACCCATCAGTACTTTACTCTAGGTAAGGATATACCTTTGCAATGAAGACTATTTAGCAAAAAAATGTATTTTAATTTGTATTTTTACACATTTATAAGCTATGAGTTTCTAAAATACATATTTTTTTCAAATTTCTTACATGCATGTAAGAAATCTGCAATGCGATACATTTAATAGGGTTACTGTATTTGTTTCAAAAAAGTATTTAATCCCAAGAAAGTTTCTGTAGAATTTCAAGAAAGTCTGGCTCCCTAGAAGCAAAATATACTAAAATGAAGAATGGCTCAAGACTTTTACACAATACTATGATAGCTCGCAAATAAACGTAATTAAATTTACTCATTACATTGTGATTGGAAAGTACCTGTGAAAAACTATCAACTATAGATATATGCAGCTGTACAACAACCCACAGGTAACAAAACACTTTCTTCAAATAAAAGTGTTTTTATCTTGTTATTTTCAGAGGTATGAGTAATTAGATAACAATCTATTAAATCAACTGATGTACTTATACCTGTGGAGTCTGCACAACTGTCACAGCAGGTTTTAATTTGGTAATTGGTAAATGTCTGCACACTCATAATCAGGCTATTTAAAATTTAAACACAACAGCTTCACTGTGACTGTTCCCATCTATGACTGAAAGAGTCTTTAAAAATTGCAGACCTAAAATAAAGGTGAAACTCATCAGCGGATCAGATTTTTATAAAAACCTGGTCTAAAGCTTAAAATCCATTTAATGCAAATATGCATTTTAACAGTGATATTTACTCAAAACAAGCTTTTTATCTGAAAAATAAGCGTAAGTACAGAATGAGCCAAAGCAGAGAACTAGCTTCACAGCAGCATCCAGTATAATCTCATTAGCCATGTTAGCACAGATTCTAGCTAGTGTTCATTTTAAAGATGTGACTGTGTAGCACTCTTCTGTTACAGTAACACCAGGACCAAAAAGGTCATTATTGTTGMACTTTACAGGGTCATACTGGATGTGTACGCAGCTGGCGTTTCAAGAGCAGGCCGAGCAGAAAAAAAAGCAGCACTGTTTCCGTTTTTAAACTTACCTCCCTGCTCATCCAACATGACCAGAGTCCTGATGCCGGCATCTTTACTCTAACAGAGAAAATGAGAAATGAAGGGCAGGAAGTGGGGAAAAGCGGGAAAGTAAAGGGATAAAAAGTGACAAGTAAGTGAAAGTTAAAAGAGCTGAACAAAGCAGATCTATCAGGATGGCAGAAGTGAGTCAAATTACAATTTGAAATCACATTTTTGAAACTGATATTTGTGCAGCGCAGCAAAAACCTACCAGCTTTAAAGGACTTYACTGACATTTTCGCGTGCAAAAAGGTCAATTGCGCTCCGACACTCTGCCTGAGGGCTACTAAATTTCAAAGGTGTTTTTAGTGTCATTGTTGATATTTGAGATTGTAAAGTATAGTCAGGATAATGTTTCTTGTCTTTGTCTTTTTATGATGTTGGGAAAATGTGACTGCTTGTACAGTTCTAATTAAACCACATTTGGAATGGCCTACTGTATATCTATCGAAATTTATTTGCCTTAAACCTCATAAAGTTGACAAAAAGTTAGACAATATCACTCTGGAATTGTGCTAACAGTTGGGGCCTTGATGATGTCATATGACCACATGGTACGGTCGGGCATGCAACATCGATGACTCGTACCAAGTTTGGTGTATTTTAGCCTTTCTATGTGAAAGTTATAGCTTTCTGAAATTGTGACGGATGGACAGACAGACAGGGAGCATTTCTAAGTCCCCCTCCTTGGCGACGGGGAGAAAAAAAAACTACCTACCAGCATTTCAAGACTGTAAAATAGCAATGTAAACCAAAAAGGGTTTTAGCTTGTGGGCTAATGTAAGCTCACCCAAATTATAAATAAAATAAAATTTCTTCTCAGTTTATAAAGTAAAAGTGTTACATCAAGTAAAAGTGCAACAAGAGGAATTTAGATTTTGTGTTTTTATCCCAGCACTGAGTATAAAAATGTTGCATCAAAAAAAGAAATGCACACAATTATGATCAAAATCTGTTCTAAAATGTAGGCTATAACTCATGTGAGATACAGTATATACTTAGCACAAAAAGTAAAAAAAAACTGTTTAGTAGCTTCTTAACAATAAATCTTGTATCGGACACCTGATTGGCAGATCAAAACAAGTGTCAATAACAACAGCCAAATAAGCTGTTTGGTAGAGAAGATTTGGCAAATTTTTCATGTGCGCAACATTACTGCTCATCCCACAAACACATGTTCCTTACAAATGTGGCACCATTTAAAAGGGAAAATAACATGCTTTCCAACAATGTAAGATTTATTGCCAAGAAACGTTTAACAAAACAATAATCTCTAATACAAATTGGTTTTGCCATTTTTGTGTTTGGTTTCAATTTAAAATAACCTAAAGGCTTAATTATTTTCCATGAAGACATAAAAATCTGAAAAATACAAAACAAAAGACTATGAACTGTAACTATGACACTGTTATCTTTTAAATCTTGCTTTTCTGATGGATGAAATCACTAGTCACTAGTGTTAGGGTCAGGGGACTCCTTTTGTTTTGCCTGATAAGCTGTTTTTTTACTACCTTGTTTGAACAACGTGTCTTAAATACCAACCCTCAACCCAAAACCTAGTCATGAAATTAAATTGTAAAATTACTTGACTATGTGGAAAATAAGCACAACTGTTTGAAGAAAAAGGTACAACCCTGCACAGATTCATTGTATTTTCTTTTGACATGTGAWTTATTGGTTACATTTTCTCTTTGTTCTGCTTTCAGAGACTTGCAAAGCTCCACTAATTAAATGCTCTGGTTAGGCTTAGAAAGTTAGCCCACGAGAAAACTATTCTGTTATTTCTCCTAACATGGGTTTGATTATGTAATAATATGCTCCAAAGATCATTAAATGCCTAGATGTCCCAGTGTGCACGCAACAAAATAACTGTTTTTTCTGTGTGTGTGGGTCTCCTCTGACATTTATTAAAACACAGAAGCTGTTAGGTTACGCCTGAGTTGATTTCCATTAAAGTGTGCACTGGCCTTTTTAAAACAGAGGTAAATATTGGCAACGCAAACGTGCCTTAAACTGACTGAAATATGTGTTCCTGAGTGGTCCTGGATCTGCCTCAGTGAAACCTAACAATTGTGTTCAGAATTTTTTGTATTTTTGTAAATATATTTAAAAGGAGGAAAAAAAGGGTCAATTAGGTGCGCCACAGACTAAAATGAATGATTGTAGATGTTCAGCAGAGTTATTGTTATAATTCTGCTGGGAGAACCGCTTCTTTGCTCTAAAAGAATCATGGGAAATCAGATCTACTGTATGTGGGGGGCAGACTTTAGAACTACAGGACAGGATATTTGTCTTTGCCAGCTGGCAGAGTCCAAAGTGGTGTCATCACTTCTTTACCTGTGGGGCCAGTCAAACACACCAACACACACTGACGCACACAGTCAGGTCATGTTCGCACCTTGCCGTGAGYTGCCTGTATTCATTAAGCAGTTCTTCCGGAAATAATTCCTCAAGGATACAAACCAGAGAGGTGCTYTTAAGACATTATTAGAAGTGTTGTTTTAGGGTTTTTTTATATTTTTGCCAAGCAGCAGTGTTGACAAGAGATGAACAATTTTCTTTGTTTTCCTTTTATATTTAAATGTGTTCTAGGTTTTAAAGTGATGTCACTAAGAAGCTGACTTTCTGTGTGTATCAGCAACGATCCTTAAGGATAAACACAACTGTTGCTGATCTTTCAGTGAGATATTCACACAGCGGCGTCTTGAAATCTGCTCAGTATTCAGTGAGAAAAACTCATGTTGGCCGTCTGCTCTGCTTTTTAACCAAACAACTCAAAGTTCACAGCAACCAAGATTTGGAGTCTTGTTAATGACATGACCATTAGATTGTTTCACTTCTAAACAACTGTATATAAAAATGGACCCCTCTTAGTCTGACTGATAATAATTTGGTCAACTCTGACTTTTAGGCTTGATGTCCTTCACAGATTCTGTTGAGCCTGTTTGTATCTCATTCTGCATCTTCATCTCAGTCCCTGTCTCTGTCTATTTTTTTTTTTTTGGTTATTTCTGTCTTCCCAAGCCAACGCACAGGTTTTCATTTGTGTTTCTCACAGGCCTGAATTGAAGATAAGAGTTTTCATAAAAAAGTTGGATGTCCACAGATTTTTATCATCCAAACCAGCTTAGCAAAAGTCCTTCCCTTTTTGTTGCACAAGCTTATTCAGTCATTAGAAGAATGGCTGACATTACTACGGTAGCTTTGTGTTACTTTCTTGACAGAAAATGGTGATCTTTGTTGATTTTTTTAATGTATTTTTTTCCTTTCTTTACATTAAAAATGGTGCAGACAAATCAAAAATTCAGTGAAAGAACGACGTTAAGTAAGTTAGCACAATTATTGAAAAGTAATTTAAAAGAATAAGGATTCTAAATACCTTGCCTGTCTTTATTTACATATCTTGTTTTTATTCCGATATTTGGGTGATAATAGAGATTTTGTTGCTTTTGAAAAGAGACAGGATGGCTGCTTACAGCATTTTTTTATTCTACTGATCTCCAACTGCATTTACTTAGCACAAAAAATGACAGTTCTTCTGTTTAGCTCACTTAAATAAGAGTTAGTACAATTTGTGTTACGTGACAKATGTACCTCAGATGATAAAATTCTGTGATGTTTTCAGTCAGTTCAGTAGTCGCTCACGTAATCTTAAAATTACAGTTCACACCTTCCCCCCCGGCAACATCCACTCAATCCATTTATAAGGCTGCTCAACAGCACAGTGGATGTGGCAGTCAGCTGCTGCAAGGAGATACACATAAATAAACCGCTAACGCCTCGTTGGCCCTGAGTGTGATGAATTATGGGTCGCATTCAGAGGAGACAAGGGCTTATTGCATTGCTGAGTGGAAGTGTTGCCACAAACTCTGCCATGGAGCGAATCATCGAAGCAGAATGGATTCAAAGACCTGACGTGCGYGTTGACATAATTTGTTCCTTTATGTTATGTTATAGGTGACTCTAAGGTCATRATGAATAAAAATCTTTGAATTTTACATTGCAACAATTCTATCAGGTTACAGCACAAATACATTATTAATTGCTTGGAACAATTCATATTTTAAAGTTTCAGAGAACAGTGCAAAACAAGTCTAGACATATAGAGCTTGTTTTTCTGTAATCTCTGACATATTTTTTTCTTGGATTAATTCAAATTACTTTGATCAAAAACAACTGTTTTACTGGATAACATTTGTAGTTTATTAAATCTTAGGGCTTTATCTACTGACTGCATGAAGTTAGCCTAGCTTAACATAAAGASTAGGGRAAAATAGCTCAGATTACCGGTGAGAAAATGTACTTTTCAGCACCTGTAAAGCTCACCAACATGTTCAGATTTTCACGACAGAGTCTCTCAAAGCACCAGCAGAAACTCCACAGATGGTCGTTCTGCATTGATTAGCATCTACAAGGGTGTTTGTTCTTGGAGTTTGTCAAATTTGGACAAAATCAGGCAATCTGTTAACTCAGTTTTTTTTTTCCAAGAGCTACACAAACCACCTCCAGTTTCATAATTAACTCAGTGGCACGAAAACGCTTCTTATCTTCACAAATAATTTATTCCTCTAAACGTGAAACTAATTATTCAAATGTCCAGTCAAAAATAAAACACATCAAAAACAGTAAAATTATGTAAATAGACAGTTAGTTTTATTTGAATTGAACAAACTACTCTCTACTTAACTGACTGCTGTTAAAATAAAGCTTTAAAAGCGGTAATTTCTGTGATGTACTTCATTTAATAATTAATAAAAAATAAATAACAGGGGTTGGTTGGTACTGTTTGAGGAAGCACGAGGCAAACAAGACCATCCTTTTCCTACAGTTCTGGACACGTAACTACATCCCAACTCTTTTAATACCATATTTTTGACCTWTTAAAAAGGAAAACTGAAATTGGTTCAAACCTGGACAAACAAGGAACTGAACCTGGGTAAGTGTGGTTTTACTACTCTGATCACTTGCCAACTTATTCACTTAGCATAAGCTTCACTATAAGCCCTCTGAGCTGCGGTCATAGTGTACTACTTACACTTTACTGCACGAGGGAAGGCAACGAGAAGCTGAACTTCCTTCATCAAATACAGACCTCAGCTCCACTGAATCTTATTTATTTAAACCGTGTTTATTGATGCAAAAGTAAAACTCTCTAACAAACCTCAGGACATTTTAAGAGACAGCTGGAACAAATTGTTGTCATTCTCTTAAGAGGTCAGATGTTCGGGCCTGTCTGTGGAGCAGGTAGATGTTTAGGACAACTGCAGACCTCGCTCTGAACCCTTCTGGCTTTGCCTCGTGAGGACATAGTGGATTGTCCAGAGGACAGACTGGGGTTATGTCTCTGCAGTGAAGCTCAAACAGTAACACAAGGAAAACGTGCACATTTCGACACAGAGTTGACTGTTTCTGAGTTGAGCAAAATAACCTGCCAGTTTAGCTAAATGTGTCCTGTTCATTATTAATATCATCTTTAATAATTGTTCAAGATTAAGTGTTTTAATAGCCACAAAAGTGCATTCGGACCTTACCTAAAACATTTTAACCATTTCATGAAGACAGCAGAAAGATATTGCAGAAGTGACTCTGTTTGAGGTCATAAATCTGCAGAGTTGGGATTTAAACAGGCAAGAGCATGATTTGTGATGCTTGGTTTTCTGTGATTGGCTTTCTGCACATATGATAAGATAAAGCGACATTATGGATAGTTTACATTTTATGCAGTTAGTATAAAATAAATTGCAGATRTTGCAAAGCATCTTCAGTTTAGATATTTGTTGTCGCAAGATATTTCTGACAATCATGTTTACTGACTGAACAGATTTTTTAAATCTTGTTACACCTTTTAAAGGGGGAGAATTATGCATTTTCCAGGCAAATAGTTAAAGTCTATAACACAATCAAGTAACTATGGTATGTTGATTTTGCATAATACCACCCATTTAAAACAGGTTCTGTGTTTGTCAGCATCAGTCCAGTTTCTCTCAGACTCAAATCAAAAGTTAATATCCAAGACGGCATCTGACAGACCGATTTATTCATCACCAAGCAATTTACAGCGGGTAAAATAAGTATTGAACACGTCACCATTTTTCTCAGTAAATATATTACTAGAGGTGCTAATGACATGAAATTTTCACCAGATGTCGGTAACAAAATCAAACCATAAATGTCCAGAAATGAAGTTATTTGTAATAATGTGGAATGGCACAGGGAAAAAG